CCAGATGCATAGCAGAGTAAAGGTCTTGGAAACCCTTGTGAGGATAGCTGTACCTTTCCTCGAAGTTTGTCAAGGAAGTTGCCGGAATACAGAACGATCCAAGAACTTCTTTTGGTGGAAGATTTAGAAGGCGACATGCCTCCTTCAGCCTCTGTACTGAAGACTGGGACAGAACCACAGCTTCATGAAGGTGGTTCACGTATGCTTCTTTGCTGAATTTTAGTAGAAACTTATCCACTTCCTCTCAGTTCATCCCATGTAGAAGTTTTTGTTTCTTGGTGTTTCTTTAGCCTCTGAATCAACCGTTGGATGTACAAGTCATGTGTCTTTGTGAAGAGTTCCGTTGCCGTGGTCAGACTGTTCACAGCTTGGGGGTCAAAGAACCATAATATTGTCATGAGGACCAAGTTGAAGGGGAACCGCCAGTGGGCCTGCATCCGGCTGTCTTTCCTTGCCAGATACCGGAGGAGACCAGAGATGTCTTTGTTCTCGGTGCCTGGGTCTTGTAATGCCAAGCTGTAATTTCTTACAAACTCTTCACGTTTGTTCTCTTCTATGCCCAAAACTTTGACATGCATAATATCAAATTTGTCCGGCACATATCTCTTGAAGTCAGGTACTTTGTTGGGTCGTGTTGTGCAGAGAACAGTGATGTCATCGTCTCTGCTCATCCCCATGATTTCTCTCAGCACTCTATCTGATGCTGAGTTCATCTCGTCGAGCCCATCCACAATGAACATGAGTCTGTTTCCTGATAAGTAATTCATCATATCATTATCACTTTGGACTTTAATTTTAATTTTTGGCATCAATGTGCCTAGTAGGTTGCCAAGGGAATGGATTTCGTCTCGGCACCTACTTAACAACACAAAATCATAATCAGTGAGAGTCTCCATGGAGCTAGTGCCTGAAGCCCAGTCACTTATCATCTTCCTTGTGAGGGTTGTCTTGCCAACACCCGCAGGCCCTTCAATGAGCAACACGGAACAGTCTTTCCCATTGTCTACTCGTCTCTCCTCCGCCTTTGCGAGAAGTTCACTATACTGAATGAACTGTGTTTGTGAGCCTTCCTGCTTGATTTCCATCGTGGTGAAGACCTTGTCCACACGCACCTTCGATTTCCCAAGCAAATTCGAAGCTGGTCCAAAACTGGACTCCTCTCTGTAAATCTTCTTCAGCTCTAGTTTTCCTTCGACTTTCACCATCTGGCGCTGTCTGTCGAGGACTAATGCATGAGAATTTGTTGCCTGTGAGGGATTGTTTCTAAGACTGTTGATCTCTGTGTTTATATCTTGCAAGATCCCCTGGAGGATTTCATCTCCTATGTTGTAGATTTCAGCTGCTCTCTCGAGGGTTTTGTTGAGCAGATCTCTCAGCTCCTCTGTCACCTTAAGAAATTCTGTGTGAGTAATATCATATTCTCCATGTAGAAAATTATTTCTATAAGTTTTAATGGAGGTCACATATCGTTCCAGTGTCTCTGCTCTAGTGGTCCATTTGGCATCTCCTGGGGGGGCCAGTCCATCACACCCATGGACAATGCATAAAAATATGAGTGAGACATCAAATGTGCCAATGTCACCACTCTTCTCTATCTTTTGTCTTTGACTCTGATTAAATTGCTTGCGTATTGTTGTCAAAGACATCCTCTTCACTTGCAAGAGGTACTCATAGAAGGTCTTGCTTGCATCCCTCCTGGGAGTGCCCCACTCCAGTATGAAGAGGAGAACCTTCTTGCTTGTGTGAGTGGTCATCTCGTACAAGGCGAAGGTCATGTGCTGGGACGGATTCATTTCGGAGGTGCACAGTGACGGAGCGGGTGCCGGTCTGCAAGGAAATATGAGAAAAGGGGTCAGTCCTATTATTCAGTTGCAGCCTCATAAAAATTTCCAAATCACAAACAACAAAAATAGACGGCCATAACGGTACAAACAAGCTAACTGCGAGTCGTTCAAATCATTAAACTAAATATCTGACTGATTTTGGATGCGTGTGACCCAAGCAACAGATGGGCAATGGAACTCCATCCATGCCATGCGTAGCCAAGCACCATCCCAGGTCTCGACAAGAAATTCGCGTCATATTAGCCACAAGGAAGGAGTTTTTCTCACATATTAAACAGTGCTCGATGGGACTTCTCTTTCGTAAGAAGACACGTCATCCATGGTCTTGAGAATGAACGGTGAACTGAATGGAATATTTTAGATAAGGGACGAGAATTCAGGGAAGATCACATTCCCCGGAAAATATGGCATTGATTTCAAACATGGATACATATAATACATCAATATAAATATATATATATATATATATATATATATATATATATATATATATATATATATATATATATATATATATATATATAATATATATATATATATATATATATATGTATATATATATATAATATATATTTATGATATATATATAGATATATATATCATATATATATATATATATAATATAAAATATATTATAATATATTATATATAATATA